AGGGTCTGCGTGTCGTTAGTTGTGCTTTTATGCAGACGTGGAGGCAGCATAAGTCAACTACGGTAACGAAAGCGGGCGGCGATTAAGTGTTTAGTTATTCTAGCTGTACCCCAACGTCTGCTTCTCTTTTGAAAACTTCCGGAAAAAGAGTTTTTACTACGTCGAGGCGCGAGTGTGTGTGTGTGTATACGTGTGTGTGTGTTTGTGTAATTTTGCGTTTGTGTGTATTGCGTTTGTTTCCCGGGGAAAACCCTCACGAGAAACACCGGCTGTTGTTATGCCTGCTGTGACGTTAAGTTACTCCGTTCTCCGCTTGTAATTATGCCGTTACAAGCTTCAAAGTTGTATTTATCATCTGAATTTGCCGAAACAAGTTTAATATTCTGAAAGCCAAGACTTTGTTTTAATTGAAATCAGATGAAAACAAACTGTAACGGACCCTGCCGTGTTATTTATGATTACTCTACGCTTACATTCATAATGTCAGCCGGAGGGAGGGGGAGCGGCGCTGCGGAAGAGCAGATTGCCTGTCATCTTCCCTTTACAAGCTTAAAGAATGTATTTATCGTGTGAGTTTGGAAATAAAAGTTTCATATTCTGAAAGCCAAGACTTTGTTTGTTTAAAATCAAACAAAACACCCGAACCCCGAAAAAATAGTTTTTTATGCAAATCCACGTTTATTTTGAAATGAGCCGTTGCGACTTCCGACTGATTTCGATAGAGCGGGTCACATATATTAGAATAAAAAGTACAATATTTGAAGTGGAGCTGAAGAAGCACAACATGGTACAAAAAAGTACAGTACTTGATTAAATACTTAGTTGCTTCTATGATTGTCCCTAGCAACAGATTCAGTAAAAATACAGTGAACCCAAGCAGGAGAGACAAATGCCAGCAGGATTACTTTAATAATAAATATAGCAAATGTGGGCTTTATACAGTAAGGATGTTGATACATGAAAACGGTTCTCTTCCAAAAGGTCAAATAATTGACAACAGGGACCAAAAGAATAAACATGATTTAGACAAAGAGTAAACACCTGGACCATTTCTAAGGGTAATCTCTCTCTCTAGGCAGCAACACACAGACGTTTGTGTTTGCAGAAACCAGGGAAAGTTTTGAATACATATTTATTGTTCCCAGAAGTGCACTTGCGTTTGCAGCATGTACACATTAACACATTGTAAATGACCTAACATTCACCTAATAAAAACCTGGCATGTGAAAGGAAATTGAATTGAATATGATAAGACACACGAGAGCTTGATTTAGTACTCACAGCCTGGAGTGTGTTTCTAGCGAGGGTGAGTTTCTCCTCACAGTCCAGAGCCATGTTCTGGATCTTATTGGCCCTCTGAAGCAGGTGCTCAAGCCTGAGAACACACACAAAAAACACACACATACACACACGTGGAGGTTAAGAGGCATGTCCCTGAGAAGCACACTTGATGAGAAATTGAATGGCAGGAGTTGCATCAGTGATAATTCCATGCACCCTGCTGAAGTAGACATGTGAATTGATTTGTGTACTTGTGCATGTGTGTGTCTGTGTCTGTGTCTGTGTGTGTGTGTGTGTGTGTGTGTGTGTGTGTGTGTGTGTGTGTGTGTGTGTGTGTGTGTGTGTGTGTGTGTGTGTGTGTGTGTGTGTGTGTGTGTGTGTGTGTGTGTGTGTGTGTGTGTGGTGTGTGTGTGTGTGTGTACCTCTCCACAGCCGGCCGTAGAGCCTTCTCTCTCTCCAGCATCTCCAGGATGAGTTTGCCCCACTCCTCCTCCAGGTCGTTGGGATGGAGGCCATGAGGAAGCTTGATACGACCAAACTCTATCCACACCTGGACACACACAGTGAGAGTTTACTTAAAGTGGACCTATCATGCTATATTTGAATAATATAGTGTAGGGCCATACCTATATAAGGCATATTTATACTTTTTATTTTTCAAAATACCAAACAGATCATGCATTTTAGCCATTCCTCATTTCGCTCAATTTAACACTGTCTTTGCATGGGCTGATTCTGTGAGAACAGCACCATCTACAGGCCTGGCATATGTACTACAGCGTCTCCAGCGCTTTCCAACGGCAGTGTCCGTGGCTGTCTCCTCCTGATTGGTGGAGTTGGCCCAATAGCCGTAGCGCCACTTCTGTGACGTCATAGAAGTGTTCAAATCTGGATCAGTCTGTATCAGATCCGTTGCAGCCCCTTTTTAAGAGATTTGGGTATGGAGGAAAATAGAGAGGGTTGTGTTTTCTGACACTTGGTGAGTTCCCTGGAACACCGGGGACACATATTCATGTATAAAAGACGTAAGACTAAATTGATTGACTAAGCTATTCTTGTTTGAACTTGAAGTAACTGAAAAATGTAAATGAAATGTACTAAGTAAAGCGTTTAAAGGCCACTGTATAAAGGGGCACGCCAAGAGAATACAGTAAGTGAAGTAAGATAGCTAGTTAGAATTGACTAAATCTAACTACGGTAGATATATTCCACCCATGCTCAGAGGAAGGGCTGGTGGAAGAGTTTAATATGTTTTTGTTATTACACTAAAGCCATTTTTAGCTGAAGGGTTTCCAAATATTGTCAAAGGTAGACAATCACGCAAAGGACCCAAAGCATACTTAACAAGGATCTGCCATGGACATTTTAGGATATGATGACTTTCAGGCAAGGCACATCGATGAATATATGTTTTTATTATCTGCAGTACAAAAGCACTGAAAAGACATTGCTTCCTGCTGTACAAAATAAATCTAATATGTTTTCTCTTTGTCTTCAAAATACAGTATGTTAAATCAAATCTGGTCAAACTATTTGTCAGGCCCTTATAGACAGATTTTGTGGAGGAGAATGAGCCCCTTTTCTGATTGAATATCAATGAAGTTAGTTGTATTTTCTGAAGCCCTAGCATATTTTCATTGTGCTTGTGTTCACCCTTTGTCCCTCCTGAAATGTTATTCTATAACAAAAATGTGTGGAGAGGTATGGAATATAATGTTTTTGTAATGGAAACTGTTGCTCAAGTCAAATAAAGGCCTCCATTACATCACAGTTACAGTACGTTCAGGAGCGATCATAAGTCACACCACAGACAAACACTCTGATACAATCAGCTGAGTGAGAATAAAGGAGGACCTATAATCCACCGTCATGTGTTTGTGTTGGAACAATCTGCAGCATTGATAACAGAAAAAGTGTGGAAAGGACTTCCCTTCAGGAGACACCAGCCGCAGAAACCTGCTGATAATAACACTAACTCTCTGAATCCCATGATGCACAGTGGGCTCTGCCAAACATTCATCACCATGCCCTCCATCTTTACTCCGTGTAAACCCTTACCTCCAGCAGTTTGTAGAGGTGCTCGATGTGACCTTTCTCCACCTCCTTAGCGGGGATCTCCGTCTCTTTGAAATGGACGTACTCGTTGTAAAGTGCCTGGAGGAGGAGGAAGTGACCATGAGGTCTATATTAGTGGCTTTGTTTGATGTCAACACCTGTTATCAGTGAACGTAAAAGCTTTGTGATTACAGCCCCTCTCTCTGGGTGGTCATTAGACCGTTTTCTCAATGGTTACTTCAAGCTACAAATGTGACTGCTTTAGTTTCCCACCATCCCTTTCTCACGCTCTTTAGACAGCCAATCATGTTTTAGCTTCCTTTTCAACACTAACTTTCTTCCGTACCTTACATCTCTGTAACCCCCCCCCCCGCTTTTCTTAGTCTTTATTTGTTCTCTCAAGGTTTTACACAAAATGCTTGGCAGCTTCCTTTCGTCCTGACTGAATTTGTAGAGAAATAAATAAACAGGGATTGTATTCCCACCTCACCAGATGCATGTTGGTTTGAGGTAAACTGGATAACCCCAAGTAAAAAAAACACATCTGTATCCCACTATAATTTGCAAAGCTTAATAGTAGACTCTTCCATATTGCTCATTCTCAGGTTCATACTAATGTTGTGTTCTCACCTTGAGTTCCACAGGGTTTTGTGGGAAGTTTTTGTTGGCCATGATGGCCGTATGCTGGCGGCTCCACTGGAGCAGAGAGAAGAACCTGGACTGATACTCCGACCAGCGCTGATCCACCTCCTGAAGGTGGAGGGGGAGGGAGAGGGGGAGATGAGCAGTGATTTCTTTGCAGAAAATCTGACATTACTACGGAGCCCTGGAGGGTTCACAGAGAGAAAAATAAATAAAACGTGCGCACGCTTTATTAACTCGTGCGCACAAGTTAATAAAGCG